GAGAACCAGGACAAGTTATTTTGCACAGCTGGACAAAAGCAACAAGAATTGTCAAAAACAGCTGACAGATGTACAGAACCATTTGCATGTTGTCCAAAAGCAATTGCAATTTGATGAAAACAACAAGAAATTGCTGATATGATGTGAACAACTGACAACAGAATCTGACGGTTGAACGAGTAGTTCTGAGAAATGCAGTTCTGTTGTGAGAAATGAATGAAAGCGATAGAGAAAAACTGTAATACTTACATAAGATGGAAAAAAGATAAAAAACAAAACAACAAATTTGCCCTGGAATAGGAATGTGGGATGTGGAATTAACAAAACCGTGCCCAAAATCTACAGTATGCACACTGATTTGCTCTGGTCTGAAGAAAGATTTTCAGACTAAATGTTTAGTTTCAAATCAATGCAAGACTTGCACAGATGTATGCAACCTGAACAAGATCTTTAATCTTTACAAACACTGTTTGTCTCTTCTTCCTCCAAACACCTTGAATTTAACCATAACTCCCATAGGGTGGGCTACAATACATTATTTAGAGAAGATAAGGGCTGGGGTGCAATCAGAGAAATGTTTTCAGTGGCTTGAGTTAATGGAAATGGCCCTAAATGTTTTCAGAACATCAGAGTCACTCATTTTCTGTAGGTTTTAAATTACGCTTTACTGCTGAGTAGGTGCAAATAGAAGAGAAGTGCAGCTCACAACATGGGTGGCATGATAAGTTTAAAATGCTGTTTATACTGAGCAGGAAGGATATAAGAATTACAATGTGGCACAAAGGTGCTTGAGCCCTGATAGGAATCGTTGCTCTAGTCCAATGAGCCATATGGCTTTACTCACAAAGCTTCCTCTCTCTGCTGCCTTATACAGGTCCTGCACAGTCTCACTTTCTCCAAGTCAGACAGCCTTGCCCACCTGTGGTCTGTTCAGACTCCTGAGTAAATACCAACAACATGTGTTTGGTTAAAAATACACTGAGACATCTGTTGTATTGAGGGATACATTTCAAAACAAGACTCTTATTTTGAAGATATCATTTATCAAACCAGGAGACCAAACAGCAAAACATCTATTAAATCATACTGTAGCATGCTGGGAGAGCTCCATGGACTTTACACACATACACACACACAGGGACATGCTGCTCATGGACAGTTATACACCCAGAGGGCAGGACTGGTTGTTGTTGCCCACAGTTAGCAGGTGTTCTGGGGGGAAGAAACCTTTGGGTTGGCAGAATATGTTTCCAGTTTGCAGGTTCTTTTTGGAGGAAATGCTTGTATATAAGTTCACTGCGTGTTCAGGGTTCATGCAGCATAAGGGGCATGGAAGCCTGAAGTCTGACTCAGGTGTCACTCCTTAGCAAAATCCTCAGAATCCACTAGGAGAATGTCCCAAATCTTTAAATCTACTTTCCTGCCCCATCTTTATTAAAGAATAGATTTTTTTAGATATTGACTGCAGCCACCCACCACCTCCCATTCCCTGGGTGCAGACCTAGAACAGTATGACCTTGTTTCTCTACCAACTTGTTTTCTTGCCCTTCAACTGAATTTAATGCATGGAAACAATTTTACATGAGTCAGTCAGTCCACAAATGCATCATGGTCACTACTGATGAAAAGTACACCCATAATATTGACTGTCATCAGTAATACCATGACGTAAAGCTCCTTTTCCCTCTCCAGCATTGCACACTTCCCATGTAATTATAAGTTTTGTTTAGGGGCTTGGTGATGGGCTAACCTATAAAAACAGATGAGCTGCTGGTTTGCAGCAATATTGCAAGTCAGAATGATGGCTGGGAGCAGGAGGGACCTTTCCTGCAAACACACACTAAAGCAGGTCAGTTACATATGTTTTTGTTCTGTTGGACTGGGGCTGATGCAGCCTCAACCTCATCAGTTCAAGTGCCAGCAGTCAGGAACACACAGTTCTTGCAGTAGTCCTGGTAGTACTGATATGTTTTAGATATGCAGTAGATACGCAGTAACCGGTGTCAGCTCGTATCCCATACTGTATAAAAAAAAGACATGAGAGTGCTCCATAGAACTGATCAAAACTAGGGAGTAAAATCTGGCTGTACTTATCAACATTTTTAAATCACCAATGAATCAAATGACTATGTGTACTACATGTGAAAGGAAGTTCCTCTTAATGATGCACCCACAGAGAATGATCACCTGAGTCTACAGCTTCTGTGGAGATTTTTCTCTCTTTCAACTAGGTATTTTGATTTTCCAGCTTGAAAATGTCATGTTTCTGTCTGCACACGCTCATCAGTTTTGTTTCCAGGAGCAAAAGCATGCAGCTGTTTTCAGCAAAACAGCTCTGATAAACCCATTGTCCACTACCTGCCCAGCACCAAATGGCAGATACAGTAGAGTTAGCAGCTAGCTGGTGAACATTTATCAGTTAAAGGGCCAGAAATGTTTGTGAGGAGGTGATGAACACAGTGAGGACAGTGAATATTAGATTTATTGGCTCTCTACCTGCTGAGCGTGTAAAGAGGCAGCTATATATCAACTTTAAATGTAATACTATGTCAATTTGAGCTTCTCCTGAGTTGCAAGAAAGGAATTTATGCAGTATCAATAAATATAAGAATTCTTGTGCTGATAACTAGTCAAGTAAAAAACTGCACAGCTACTATAGTTACTAGCGCACTTGTAACCAGGCCCAAACAGAATCTGTGGGGGGTTTTTCCTGCAATTATTCAGGATGGAAATCTGTAGGGTATTGTGGAGTGATCCTTTTTTCTTGTAATGTAAAAGAAAATATTCATTGTGCAAAAGTAAGCACAAAAATGCATTAAAACAACTAAAACAAGTCTTGAGCAGGGTGAAAGAAATCAACTTGTATGAACATTTACATTTGAGAACAGTGCATGTTTTCAGGCAATCTTGTCAGGATACATCTTTGTTAATAGACATTAACCTGGGTTGTTCACATCGGCTACTGAGGTGAACAGCACTAGAAGGTGACATGAGAAGTGTCACAAATTGTTGTGTAAGGAATGAAAAAGAAGCGCTAGACAGAGATGTGTGACTATCAAGTCAAGGTGTGATAGACGTGAATGTCAGATCCTTGGCTTGGAAAATGACTGAAAAGGGAAAAAAAAAAATCACAACATCACACAACTGTTGCTCACATGCAGGCAGAGACAAACACGTGTTTAAATTCTGAGTTTCTAGTTTCTTTTCAAAACCTGCTGAAAATCTGCAGAGGTGTTGTCAGAAGTCTGCAGGCACAGGTTCTGTTTGGACCTTCTTGAAACAGATGCATTTCCACCCCTAAAGCACATAAAATTCATGGACATTCATGTGCTTGGACTTCACATGTCGTGCCTGTGTTCACATCCCCTCTGTATGTGTGTCTTTAGCTTCAGCATCCCAAAGACATTCGAGTCAAGTGGCCAGGAGACTCTAAATTCCCCATACATATGGGGAATGTCTATCTGTATCCTTCAATGGACTGGCAAGAATCAGATGTGTTGGGAAAATGAAGGACCAAAAAATATTTTCACTAGGTCAAACAAATACAATCATGGATGTTACCTACATCTACCAGGACATATGATGTTCCCCCTTTTTTGCCACCATAGCAAAATCTGTACACATCTCCACACACAGCATATCAGATTGTTGCTGTAAAAAAAAAACTTATGTAATTACCAGACCACTACTGTTTATAACAGGACAGTTATGTGGCGCATCCCAAAAGAACCACTGTGGTACCCATTATGAAACCCTAACCCGTTTTCCCCTCACTTGGTGATGAGCTACCATGACAAAATGATGTCTGTCTTGACCAGCCCCTGGGAGAGCAACCAATTATAGTAATTCAGCAGCATATGTATGACTTCTCTGAAGACAAAGGGACAGCCGTGTCCAAACACCGAATCATTGAGAATGGAGTTGTTTGTTTTTTTGTTTTTAGAAAATGTCACAGTATCATAAAGTACAGATGGGTGTGAAATTGTTAATGAGTGGTCTCCATAGATCTTATCTGCATCAACACAAGGGAAATCCCCGAAACCCAAGTTCTTTCTAAAAGGTACTGTTGGCTGCATTAGATCAGCCTAATTCTGATTATATCACCTGTGCTCTGTTGAAAACACTGGCAGCTACAGTGGCAGCTAATACAGAGAGAGATAGGTCTTCACTTCCTTCAACTGAATTAAAGTGGAGTAGTGCTCGATGGCAGTACGGGAAGATGATTTTCTCAGAGCAACTACAATGCATATTCTCTGACACAATGGATGATTCCTCTCCTGTGCAGTGGGAACCACACGTGTGAATTCTTAAATGAAGTTTTTCTTTCTGTGTGTCTCTATCTAGATCCTGACTTTATGCATCATCCAGCTGGAAAGAATAAGAGGCTGTCGTTCTTCTGTGTTCCTCTTCTTGTTCTGGGTCTTGGCTGTCGTATGTTCCCTGGTGCCTCTCAGAGCTAAGATCCAGCTGGCCATGGATGAGGTATGCAGTTGGCATATTTATTAGTATGTAATATTAACACTATATCATGGCCTGCAGACAATCCCAGCCAACACTGGGCAAGAGGCAGGGTACACCTGGGCAAGTTGCCAGTCTATCACAGGGCTGAGGCACAGACAAACACAACCACTCACGAGGACTTTACAACAGTTTTATGCAGCATTGCTGTGACAACTAACTGCACTGTGGGTATACTACTGTATCTGCAGTGGAAATAAAGCACCTGATACCAAATGTAAGTAGAGCTGAGTAAAGCCGGTATCAAGCGGTGGAAAATACACTTTAGAGACACCACTTAACCAAAACTGCATGTCTTTGGACTGCAAACTGCACACAGAGAGACCCCGGTCAGCTGTGAAACCCAGACCCTTCTTGCTGTGAAGCAACAGTGCTTCATACAATCATCCAGAAATTCTCCACAAGCATCTTTATACTGAAAACTGGGAATAAGTTATACCCAAAATGAGAGTCCTTGACAGGTCTGAACTTGCTGAACCTGCCAGTGTTAAAACACTGTGTAGGGATATCTAATCAGGTTGTCTCCTAGCCATGGTCTAGACTCTAGACTCCAGCAGCACAGCTTGAGACGTACCCTGTGTCAGCAAAGAGTTTCTATTTCATCCCCCATTTTTAACCAAGGTAACCTAAAGTTAACCGAGTGCTGGAGGATGACACTGCCAATTCTGGTCAAGCTTGTGTGTGTTTAAGTTTTTCCTTTCCTTCCTGTGTCTCCTGTGAGACACTGCAATCATTGTTGTATGGGGTACGTTTCTATTTAAGTGCACACAGCCATAGGGCAGTTGCATTTGCATTTCTATAAAAACACACACACATCCATATTTTTGTTTTATCGTTTTCAGTGTGACGTTCCCACACTGCTTGGGGCAGAGTAATGATGGCCCTGAGATAAACGCTGGTGAGACCTGGCAGCCCAGGTCAGACCAGAGGAACGTCAGTGCTGTGTTTATGGGCCTACTCAGTTGTAAACAGCCAGAGGGAAATCTATGCATCCACACATAACACGAGGCCACTCAAAATTTACATATAGACATTTTCATTTCATAAAACCACACATAGGATATACACATCTTCTCTTGTACATAAATTGTAGAACCATTATACATAAATCTCACTTGCTTTGCTGCAGTATCAGACTGACAGATGAGCCAGCTGGACTGGAAATAATGAAGATAACTACAAAATAGACAAGTTCATTCCTGCACCCTAAACCCAATAAAACAAGGAGAGTACTAATTGACTTTCCATTAGAAGCTAATAATATAACTTCTGTAGAAAGAATAATGTGACATTTAAGAAAACAATCCTTTGTTTTCCTGTAAAAAGTTAAATCTATCTATCTATCTAACTGTGTGAATATTTAGAGTGTGTGTGTGCATGTATGTTTATGTTACAGCAGCCTATGTATTGCGTAATGTTTTAGTGCAGTTGCTGATAGCCTTATCGGTGCAAGACAAATTTCTTTTTGTAATAATACAAAGGCGTTCTTTTCTTGTGATAGATGGAGCAGGTAAAAAAGAAAGAGAATGCTGTATAGCTCAGCAGTTTTCCTCATTTGCTGTGTCAGCACACTTTTACCTATTGTACTGACACGTTTTCAAATATTTACTTATTATTTACAAAGAGCGTACTTAAATCACATTGCAACATTGATGGCCTGAGTTGACAGAGTTCATGTTTGTGCTCCCTTGGCTGTTTTTAGTTGCTTGACCTAGATTTTTGCCCACCCACTCTCCGGCCATCCTGGTCATGTTTTTCACTGTGTGGTCAGGTCCATTTGGCCCCTTCATATTTTCTTTCTGGGCACAGCACCGCTGCTTTCTGAGAAAATTATTTTACTCTTTACCAATGCGTTCACATTCATGCATACCCATATTTCTATATAGCACACTGGCTGTAGCTATAGCTTTGACCCAGGTCCTTTGCCAAAACCTACAATTTCTACTGTATATGTCAAGAATAACATCAATGCCTCATTTCACAAGTTTCTGAGTGGTTAATATCACAATGCTCACTTGGTTTAAAGTAAAGCTGCTGGTTTGACAACAAATATGGCTGCCTTGCATGACTGAGAGGCAGCTTAAACTATAGCTTCATTTACTGTATGTAAATTACAGCATTAAAGACTTTGAGTTTTCACCCTGACTTAGCTCAAAGGTCCAAAATACTAGGTTTATTGTGTGTGTGGCCTTGGTGTATAAACCGTATCCACTGATATTTAATGTGTAAGCATGGGAACAGCCATATAATGAATCTAGTGTTAGTGTGAAACAGCACACAAAGCCACAGTAATGATAAAAGATGCTGGATGTTGTGTTGAAAAAGATGAGACAGCCAAAGTTGATCCTGTTGAAAACCTCCTGTCGTGGTATAAGAACATTACTACTTTTCTGTGGCATTTGCTCAACCAAGAAGCTCTTTCATTTGTCCCTGGCCAGAAATGTCACACAAAATACCAGACATGTCTGGAATAGCTTAAAGCAAATCAACTGAATAAACTCAATATTGTGGTATTTTACAGCCCTGTAGCCGTTTCATTAATCTGTGTTTTCTTGTTTATTGCACAGGGCATTGCCTCTGACATTGTACGATACCTCGCCTTCTTCTCCTACTTCACAATCCAACTGGCCCAGCTCTTCCTGTGCTGTTTTGCTGACCAGCCACCAGAGGGAAAACCCATCTTGGAAAAGGTAGGCAGAGGAGAATGTATCTGACCTCCGTCAAAAACACCCACTCCAATCCAACACCCAGGACAGAAAATGCTCAAGCAGCTATCTTGTGGTTTTCAGCTTTTGTTGTCGAGACACTCTTCCCTTTTGGAGGAAATGATGTGATTCACCTCCTTCCCTCCTTCCTCTCCCACTCTCACTTCAGTGCTTTGGATTTCTATGAAGGCAGTGTGAATGAGTGCATGTGTTTGCTTGACGTTGTTGTTCTGCATGCTATCGACACGACTCACTCACTTCAGCTCTGGGTGGCAAAGCTGCTTAGAGTCCATGACCATACAACAGCAAAGCCAATACAGATCTCCGTATCTCATCAAACATCAGTGTGGCAAAACCGTTTCAAGCTCCAAATAGCAAGCTGGTACAGGACAGCTGGCAGATGAATAAAAATGAGCTTCTAATCGATTAAACAGACATGTGATATAATATCTCCCCGGAGATAAACAAAATATCTGGAAAAGTCCCTGGCAGTGAGGACGCTAAGGTTGCAGAAGCCACAGTCTGGCCTGGTGGACGCACCCAGTGGTCACTTTCTTCTACCACCTCCTCCTCCTCCCAACACCACACTACGGTTACTCACCGGAAAAGAGGATATGAGCTGAGCAAAGAGTAAAAGTTCTGGTAATGAAGAGAGTGAACACCCTGGTGAGGGGGTGGAAGGATGGAGGGATGCCATGTGTGAGAAGACAGACCTGTTGAATGTTTTTGATGACACATTTCCCCTCTGTCTGCACTAGACCTCAGAGCATCATCTTTGCCCTGGGCTAACACTGAATTCTATTTATTCAGTCCCGTGGGAGTTCATGGCCTCTGCACCCTACAAGAAACCACCTGACTGTACAGTGTTGTTTACACACGTCAGCATTCTTACAGTAAACACACCCCTCACAAGTGCAGCGTTTACCCCTCAACCGATGGTCTCGGTGAAGCTGTGTATTTCACAAAAGCCTTGAAGTGGTGAGAGGTTTACTGGGGAAACACAGTGAGTCTGGTCTTTAATCTGTTACAGAATCCCTGCCCCGTGAAAGATGCTTCTTTCCTGTCAAAGATTCTCTTCTGGTGGTTCACTGGGTAAGATGGTTCTTCAAAACCCCTTCATTTTTAGGCTTCAGCTGGCTCACAACAGCAACAGTTTGTACTTGTTTACAGTAATAGCTGTGTTTTGTTGATGAGTGAATCATCTCTGTGCTCCATCCTCAAGGCTTGTTGTGAAAGGATATCGTACTCCGTTGGTAGCAGAGGATCTGTGGACCCTGAGGGAGGAGGACACGTCACACAAGATTATCTCTGAGCTGCAAGAGGACTGGACAGCTGAATGTGCCAAACTCCAAAAGTGAGAATGATTGATTACTGATGTCTGAGGAATTAAAGGGGTACCCCAGTCATAGCGTTGGTGGACTCAAAGAAAACAGGGTTGTACATTTCCAATAATGCAAACAATAGCAAGCCTTAGCCAAGATGACCTTCTTGACTTCATATACTCCAGTGACATCGTCAGGGTTGTTATTCAGACTTTGCAGGCTTCTTCCAGAGCAACAGAAAACAAGAGAGTACAAATTTTCTCAGGTTATACAGTACTTCTCTTGATGAGTAAACTGACCTTCATGTGTAAAGTTTGTGGAGTGGCCCTTTAATGTCCCCTGTGAGAGGCTAAATAATCTTCTGTATGTATTAGTTAGTAGTTGTAGCATGAAGAAGTGTGCAGCAGAAAACCAATTTTCACAAGTACACAACAGGACATGCAGGACATGCACATGTTACAGTAGGGCTTGCTAGTTTGACACAGGCCTGTGATTCACCATAAATCTCACAGTATTGTTATAATTTAACAGTGAATTAATAAATTCCATAATACATTTTATTGTAGGGTAGCCAAACATCAATATGGTGCTGGTTGAAAACTCAAGAAGAGTATGTACAATAATAATTTTCCTCCCCACTGCCACCAAGTGCTTGCTCAAGGGGGATTTGTTGGGTTTTTCCTCTATATTATTAATAATAGCAAGGTCTAGACCTTACTTTATAAAGTATCCTGAGATTAATTTTGTTGCGATTTGGTGCTATACAAGTAAAACTGAATTGAATTGAATTGAACTGAATTGAAATGAAAGGTCCCAGGACCATGTTGGGACATCTCTGACACAGATGTATGCTTTATCTCCCCTTGGCAGGCAGGAGAAGGCCTTGGCGTCGGGTGTGGCGCTAGGGAGCAGGATGCCAGACCAAGCTCAGCTCCTCAGGAAGCTCCAGAAGGAGCAGAGCTCTGGCTTCTTCCTGCTCAGGACGTTGGCACGCAAGTTTGGTCCATACTTCCTCACTGGTACCCTGTGTATCATATTCCACGATGCCTTCATGTTTGCAATCCCCCAGGTGCTCAGGTAAGACTTGAAGAGAAAGAAGACCTAACCCTGCCCCTTACCCTAAGCCCTGTCCCACAAGTGGGACAGTGTTAACAGTCTATCAATAAGTAGCTGTGGTGTGACTTGCCAGCGTTGGGATATATTAGCTGTATCTCAGCCCAGTCTCAAAAGGCTCTAAGATATTTGGTTTGTGGTGCTGACAGCGACAAAAGAAACCCTTCAGTTTTAAAGACAGTCCACAGATGCTGTTGTGAATAGTTAGCACAAACATAGAAATCAACAAAACAATTGTACTTTGATAGCAAGAAGACCTCAATAAAAATGCCCAAAAGAAAGTTACTAGGCCTTTTGCAAGTAACTGTATCATTACATAGACAGATAGATAGATAGATAGATAGATAGCTTATTTCCTCAGATATCATCATCATTGTTCTATTTTCAAGTATTTACGATACCTACAACCAAACAAGAGCAGGAGCTGGCAGCAGTAAAAAATAGCCCAGGTCATGGCTTACCCACCACCCACCAACCGTACCACTAGCCAGACTGGAATGTTGTTGTTGATGCACATCACTGAATCAGTGGAAGTGTTAATTACAGTCATGAAGCTGTGAGCAAGAAAAGCTGACGGGACCACAGCCGCCTGTGTTACAGTATGGAGGACAGGCACAGAGGGAGAGGAGGCTCTAAATGGCATAAATGCAGATGGACCACAATAAGGAAGCCGCTGGCCAAGTGTGAGGGCAGTGCAGCCACAGGCTGAGCACTGTTGTGCAACCCAAGCTACACTGTGTGAACCAGTCAGCCAGTGGTCACAGTAGCGCTTGGGGCCACTGGCACATAATGACAGTCAAATAATTCTAGATTGAATGAGGAAACACATTAAAAAATCTTACTGACGAGTAAAAACCTGTCTATATGTGCTTTGATTTGTATCATTCATTGCTGTCTATAGAAAATCACACAGAAATAGGTTTTGACACAGTATCATCATGACCCTTAAATGCACTAAGAGTTAAACAGAAAAAGGTGCAAACTCCTGATCATCACATATTAATCTTCTGCTTATCTTCCTCCACAGTCTTCTTCTGGGTTTCATGAGAGATGAAGATGCTCCACTGTGGAAAGGCTACTTCTACGCCACTCTCATGTTTCTGCTGTCCTGTCTCCAGTCCCTGTTCAATCATCAGTACATGTACACATGCTTCACAGTGGGAATGAGGGTGAAGACAGCTGTTATGGGCTTAGTTTACAGGAAGGTAGGTAATGCAGCCACTAACCTGTAGATACAACATAAATGATGTCTTAAATGGCAAAAGCAAAAGCATTCTCTACTTCCAGACTGGAAAGCAGTGCACAATATATGAGTGACTGCTTTTACCAAAAAATGAGCATCTGAAATCTTAACAAGAATGTGAAATTATATTGTACACAGTGCACTGAGGACTAAATGTCTGTCTCTTTTGTTGTCATTCCAGTCTTTGGTGATAAACAGTGCTGCCAGGAGGACTTGCACTGTGGGTGAAATTGTGAATTTGGTTTCAGCAGACACTCAGAAGCTCATGGATTTTGTGGTGTATTTCAACGCTGTCTGGCTGGCTCCTATTGAGATTGCGCTTTGTCTCTTCTTTCTCTGGCAGGTATGTTGAAATGTAGTCTCTTAACAATGCCACCCATTCATGCACACATGCAATTAACTGAAAACCCTCTTATCCTTTCTTTCATTTAGCATCTAGGCCCATCAGCTTTGGCAGGAATTGCCACTGTCATACTCATTTTCCCACTCAATGGATTCATTGCAAAGAAAAGAAGCAAGCTGCAGGTAAAACCTCACACAGAAATGTTTGACACATTCACCCCAACGGTGCTGACATCTGGCATGTTAGGTCAGGGATGCCACAGCTGGTTTAAATAGTGGCTGAAGCATTGTGTGAGTGTTTGGCCTGCACAATATGTTCTCTGTTGTCTATTTGATGTCTGCCCTATATAACATGTTTGAAAAACTGTGACAGGAAAGGGTGGGCAGTAGGAAGACATCACTTGTCATTTCCATACACAAGCTACAGACAGTTCTGTACATTTGCATGTCAGTCTAGTTGAACTTGACCTTGAATGTAGTGAATGCATTCTTGACCCTTTGTCATTTATCTTAAAAATCAGTAAAATGTAAAAAGCAACAAATTCGTACTGATTTAAACAAGGTTTATGGTGTTCAGGAAAACTACTACAGCTGTAATCAGAGCAGACACACCTTTGTTCACAAATGCATGGATTTGCTCTGGTCTGCTACTTGTCTTGTGCCTCAGTTTCAGTTTATGCTACTGTTTATATTTTAATAATAAATGTTTTAAGAAAACCATTTGCCTGGTTAACAGGAGATCCAAATGAAGTTCATGGATGGCCGTATCAGACTGATGAACGAAATCCTGAATGGAATAAAGATTCTGAAGTTTTATGCCTGGGAGAAGGCCTTCCTTGAGCAGGTTTTGGGCTACAGAGAAAAAGAGCTTAAGGCCCTGAAGAAGTCACAGATCCTTTATTCCATCTCCATTGCATCTTTCAATTCCTCCTCATTCTTGGTAAGAGCTCTAAACTGAAAGAGCCACTAATATAGAAGCAACATCTGAAGGTGTCCGATGCTTATTCCTCTAAGGAACTCCAGTGTTGTCCAACAACCACTGAAAGTCTTCACCCATGCCAGTGGCTTTGAGAGGCTGTACTTATATATAGATACAGGAGTGGTTTGAGCATCAGCATGCCAGCGTGCTCATAGTGACAGTGCTGATGTTTTACAGGTATAATGTTTACCATGGTCCTAATGTACACTGTTAGCATGCCAGTGTTTGCTTACTAGAACTAGACGCAGGTGAAGATGAAGTCAGTGTAATTAGATTTGCAGGTATTTGGTCATAAACCAAAGTACTGGACAAACTGATATTTGATCTGATGGTGGTGCTATGAGTTATGAAAATATCAGAGTTACTACAATTTATCCTAACAGGTACATGATTGTAAATGTCATGGCAATCTTTACAATTGTTTTAGAGACATTTTATGTAAAATTACAAATGTCAACCTCATGCTAGCAGTAGAGTCATGTGGATTCATCCTCTGGACACTGTGTATGTCTGTAACAAACTGCATCTTATTCTGTCTAGTCATTGTGAAGATATTTATGACCACTACATTGAAAAAATATTTAAAAGAGTAAATATTTATAACCTGTTTTCAAGATTTATGTATTTAGTGGCAACAGGTGGGCCTACAGCTAAGTGCCATGGACAAGGCGGGGGAGTCAGACAGTACTGAGAGTCAGACAAAATGCATTGTTGGTTTTGGTATTCATGTGATATATTGACAGATACATTTTGAATTCTGCCTGCCAATGTAACTTTTAGTGTGCTTTTTCCCCTAAGATTGCCTTTGCCATGTTTGGAGTTTATGTGATGCTGGATGACAGGAACGTCCTGGATGCACAGAAGGTTTTCGTCTCAATGGCACTTATCAACATCCTGAAGACCCCACTAAGTCAGCTTCCATTTGCAATAAGCACAACCATGCAGGTAGCTGACATTTCACTGTAATGCTCATGACTGCTCTAAGATGCCTGATGAGAATGATTTTCATGATCTCAAAAGATGAATACAAGTCAGTTAATCAACCACTGACTCTTTTTCAGGCTGTGGTTTCACTGAGACGTCTGGGAAAGTACCTGTGCTCAGAGGAACTCAAAGCAGACAATGTCTCAAAAGCTCATTTAAGCTCTGGTAAGAGCCCCACCCATGTATAAACTGAATGAATAAACTACTATAGTATACTGTTTAATTTCACCAATTTCTATATACCACATACTGCCTGAAATCATAGGCTGTCATGATCAATATAAACAGCCCACGCAATTTAGTTCTTTATATTTGTGGAGTGCCAGCCTTTTATGGATGATGTGTGCTGTCACTTCCTGGGTCGCAGGGTGCCTGGTAGACAGGATAATTATAGGATGTTCACATTTTGTGACTGAACATAAATCACAGTGTGAATTCAGACATATGATTCGAAAAGAAATAAAACAGAAAATACTGCACTCCTCTGTTTGTAATCTGTCAGCAGTTCCTAAATGAAAAAGCAGTAATTACACCCAGACTGCACTTTGACGAGTAACTTCAAGGGGGAATTTTGTTTTGAAAGTCTGTTTTCCTTTCAGGCTGAAAGAACGTCATGTCTTCTGTGTTTATTGCAGGTTTTGTTCATTTAGTTCAATCTTTCTTTCTTGTTCAGATGTGGAAGACGTAGTGATAGAAAACGGTACCTTCAGCTGGTCTGCAGAGGGCCCTCCGTGTCTTAAACGGTATGTATTATGAAAAAAAAAGACCACAAAAATAATTGTAATTAACTACCTGTAAAATACAATAAACTAAAAAGAAACTTATGGATAAATCAACCTCTGTTGACAGGATCAACATTCATGTGCCACAAGGCTCCCTTGTTGCTGTGGTCGGGCATGTGGGCAGTGGAAAGTCGTCTTTGTTGTCCGCCATGCTCGGTGAAACAGAGAAAAGAAGTGGCCATGTCACTGTCAAGGTACTGAGTTTATGTTCTGTATGCAATGTCTATTCATAGTTTGTGGGTTAAATTTAATAAATATTGACAGTCTCTCTTTTCACCTCTGTTTTCACAGGGCTCTGTGGCATATGTGCCTCAGCAGGCCTGGATCCAGAACGCCACAGTCCAAGATAACATCATATTCGGCCGTGAGAAATTGAAAACATGGTACCACCGTGTGCTGGAGGCCTGCGCTCTGCTGCCCGACCTCGACATTCTTCCTGCTGGAGATGCTACAGAAATCGGAGAAAAAGTATGAAAATTGTTTTATACTTTTATAAAGAAAAAAAATACTTATCTGAAATGTGTTCTTCAGATCATTTGAGTTATGTCTGCAATGTTCTAATAATACTGTCCATGCAGGGACTGAACCTCTCAGGAGGGCAGAAGCAGAGGGTTAGCCTGGCCAGGGCTGTCTACAGGAAGGCTGATGTATACCTTCTGGATGACCCTTTGTCTGCTGTTGATGCACATGTGGGTCAACACATCTTTGATCAAGTCATTGGACCTAAAGGAGTCCTCGGAGAAAAGGTAATGCAAGTAGCAAAAACTGTAAAGTGCAGTTTAGCTCCTTCACTTCAGCTGTAAAAACTCAGAATAGGATTTTATGATTTTTATGACACTTAAACCACTTATATTCTCTGAGCTGTTGTTATAACATGGAAAATACCACTTTTCTGGCGCATTTGTTTTTAAGAAAGCTTAAATTTAGTGTTGGATTGTGCATACAGTATATCCTATTTTTATGACCCGTGTGGCTCGCTATACAGACTCGCATCCTAGTGACCCATGGGATGAGCTTCCTGCCACAGGCCGACCTCATCCTCGTCTTGGTAGATGGAGAAATCACAGAGAGTGGCTCCTACCAGGATCTCCTCAGCCGTGATGGCGCCTTTGCTGACTTCATCCACACCTTTGCCAGCACAGAGCGAAAAGAGAGCGCCATACAGAGAGGTGAAGAAACTGCAGCAATAAATTCGAAAGACAACGTTTTTGTCTCTACAATTTATGTTTTTTTTTTTTTTTTGTTTAAAATACTTCTTACAAATAAACTTCAGAGAAGAATAAAGAGGACTTATATGTAATAAAAACAATAATCATGAATAATTACTTGATAACTAACAAGTGCTTTTCTTGTAGCTGGTTCCAGACGGTCCAACGCTCGTCTCAGCATGGTCGACTTCATGCCCTTCTCTAGAGACCTGTCACAAGAGCAGCTCATTGGGTGTGTTAAAAACCTTGTAAACTGCCATAAGGATGGTTGACATCCCAAGCATCTTTTTTATGAAACTGACCACTGGCCTCTCCTTGTTTTTTAGGGGTGACACCACCAATACCAACCTGCAAAATATGGAGCCTGTGTCTGAAACAGACCAGGAACAAGTACCAGAGGACTTGGGCAAGCTGACTGAGGTTGACAGGGCCCACACCGGGAGGGTAAGTCTTGACTTACTTTCTAAAAGTGAGACATTAGGAAACAGTGGAACTCCCCCTTTTGCTCCAAAATTATTTTAAAAAATTACAATTTTAAAGCTCTACAATTGATATTTTTCTATTAACAATGGGTCACATGAATTTGCACCCATGTCTGCAGTTCTCTGATCTACTGAGTTTTATAGCTTCCTTCAGCTCATTATTTTGGTTTTCCATGCCACAGCTTTAATATTTTGTTGTGCTGTCACCACTCATAATGTTCCTTTTGGCTGCAGCAAGCAGCTTTTCCATGGAAAACGCTCCTTAAACTCACTGTACACTACCTGCTCAGCACTAGCTGGTAAACACTGTGGAGTACTGTAGCTAAAGAGCCAGATAATTTCTCTCAGACAGCGGTGGAGATCAATACAGAGTGATAATGAAAGGCAGTATTCCTCAGATGACCAGAAACCCAGTGTCAAATGTTATCTGCTGTCTAAACAAACAGTTGTTTACATACAAGCTCACCATACTATCTTAAAAGATAGTAACAAATAAAATTTAACAAAAAGATATAAAGACAAGTTCTCAAATTTATTGAGATTTATTGGTATTTTTGTGTCTTTTTACAACAGGTGCAGTTAGAGATGTACAAGAAGTACTTCAAAACCATCGGCTTGGCCATCATCATTCCCATCGTCTTTCTGTATGCCTTTCAGCAGGGTGCCTCACTGGCCTACAACTACTGGCTCAGCATGTGGGCTGATGACCCTGTTGTTAATGGCACCCAGACTGATACAGACCTCAAACTGACTGTGTTTGGGGCTCTGGGATTTGTCCAAGGTCAGTTAGTTTAATGAGTCCTCAAGGACAAACACTACAAATGTACAGTTGGTACACATTGATTTGTTAATGGTTGACTCATGTTTGCTCAAATATCTCTCCCTTTTGTGCAGGTATCGCTATCTTTGGTACAACTGTTGCCATCTCCATCTGCGGCATCATCGCCTCTCGCCACTTGCACATGGACCTGCTGATCAATGTGCTGCGCTCTCCCATGTCTTTCTTTGAGTGCACACCCAGTGGCAACCTACTCAACCGCTTTGCCAAAGAAATTGACGCCATTGACTGCATGGTGCCCGATGGGCTGAAAATGATGCTGAGTTATGCCTTTAAACTCATGGAGGTCTGCATCATTGTGCTGATGGCGACGCCTTTTGCAGCTGTGATTATCCTGCCTCTCGCTTTCCTTTACGCCTTTGTGCAGGTACGTTCCCCTTCTCTGACATTTAAACCCACCACTGATCACTCTGATCTTTATTTTTCTTCAAGAGGATTCTGTCAAATGTGGTGTAGCAAGAGTTGGTTCTATTACTGTATGTTATTGGAGGACTCTGGGCTCCAAAACCAACCCTTGTCATTCATTTGTGCTTTGTTCACCACCTGCTGACATAGATGTTACAAAATCCACTATTAATTGTGGGAAAGCCCTCAGCGCTCTTGGTTTCACTCATTAAAACCAGTGTTTTATTTTTCCACTGTGGGCTGCAGAGCTTCTATGTTGCCACATCCTGTCAGCTGCGCAGGCTGGAAGCTGTAAGCCGCTCTCCTATCTACACCCACTTCAATGAGACAGTTCAGGGTGCCAGTGTCATCCGGGCCTTCGGAGAACAGTCCAGGTTCATTCTGCAAACCAATGAGAGGGTTGACTTCAATCAGACCTCCTACTTCCCCCGATTTGTGGCAACCCGGTGAGATGATGTGATGATTATTATATGCTTCGGCTTCATTTATCCATTCATTTGCTCAGTTGACATTTCCAGGAGTTACTTGGTAAAGGACTTCTTTCTTTAGTGATGAGGACTTTTGGAACTTGCCTGCCCACAGCTAAATCAATGTTGTATCCTCAGTTGGCTGGCAGTCAATCTGGAGTTTGTTGGTAATGGTGTGGTCTTAGCTGCTGCCATTCTCTCCGTGATGGGAAAAAACACACTGAGCCCGGGCATCGTTGGTCTGGCTGTGTCACACTCCCTCCAGGTACGAGGCTCTGCTGTACCGAGACACATGCACACATTCTCACACAGTAGTACCGAACATGTCCTAATACCCAAATTACTGAGACAGAGACAGTTGTATCCATACACCACACAGCACTGTGGGAATTCTTTTCGGTTGAATGCGGCATGTGGCAATGAGCGGTTAGACTGGAAAAAGTGAAATATAAAAGCAGTGCTTTGCTCAGTCAGGAAATATTTTCAGTGCAGAAAATGGGACCATTTGAAGTAGACCTAACTGTCTTGGATGTTGCAGGTGACTGGGATCTTGAGTTGGATTGTGAGATCCTGGACTGATGTAGAAAACAACATTGTTTCTGTGGAGAGAGTCAGTGAGTACGCTGACACTGCTAAAGAGGTCAGTGTTATACACATTCACACACACACTCGTAGTCACTGCTTAGGACACTAATTCAAGCGCTTTACAGGAGAGCTTCATACTCACCCTTTATTAATGTCTCATTCAGGCCAGTTGGAGTATAGAAGGCAGCTCCTTGCCCCTGGCCTGGCCCCAGAGAGGTACTATAGAGTTCCAGGACTATGGGCTGCAATACCGTAAAGGCCTTGAGTTGGCTTTGAAAGGCATTACCTTGGATATTCAAGAAAGAGAGAAGGTGATTAATTCTGGCTCACTTAAAATGCTTAAACTGCCAAATCATATTACACATAAATGTTATGTGTTTATGTTGCACACACATTCTGACTTAAACCCTCTTGTCCAGGTTGGAATTGTTGGTAGAACAGGAGCAGGAAAGTCCTCACTTGCCCTGGGAATCTTCAGAATCTTAGAGGCAAACAAGGGAAAGATCTTTATAGATGGAGTCAACATCGCAGACATCGGACTCCATGACCTCAGATCACGCATTACTATCATTCCTCAGGTATGACATTATAACAGACACAGAGCCCTGGCTTTAATCACATAAAGTGTTTGCTGTCATTGTAGTCTGTAGCCAATATAAAATAAGTCATTGTAAATTGAAGTAACAGTGTTTGGCAATGAAATACATCTGGTGTACTCTCCCCTAGGACCCTGTGCTTTTCTCAGGCTCCCTCCGGATGAACCTTGACCCATTTGACACCTACACAGAGGAGGAGTTGTGGAGCTCACTGGAGCTCGCTCACCTTAAAAACTTTGTCTCCAGTCTGCCTGACAAGCTCAACCATGAGTGCTCCGAGGGAGGAGAAAACCTCAGGTACACGGGTACATTGATATGAAAGTGCAGATAAACCACTAGCCGATGTTTGCCTACTCAGTCACTAATGAATTATTATAATGATACCCAAGCAAAGCTGCAGAATAATACAAAGTCATTGTCTAGAATGTGGTTCCACTCTTCACTCTCCAACTTGTCTTTGTCTGTGTAGTTTGGGTCAGCGTCAGCTAGTGTGCCTGGCAAGGGCTTTGCTGAGGAAAACCAAGATCCTGGTTTTAGATGAGGCGACAGCTGCCGTGGACCTGGAGACCGATACACTCATCCAGTCAACAATCCGCACACAGTTTGAAGACTGCACTGTCCTGACCATTGCTCACCGCCTTAACACTATCATGGACTACACTAGGTATGTTACTGTCCACTGCATTGTCAGTTATGCATCAAGTGGAATGACATAAAATTAAACTGTCAAAATACCAAATAACTGAGGGCTACAGCTTTGAAATATGAAGATTTGCTCCATTAACTGTTTGATTATTATCATGTATTATCTTAGAATTTGGGAACCTGTAATGGGAATTTATCTAATAATTATTTTTAGAATGTTAGAGACAGAAAGAAAGTCACTCTTGGCTTTTCCCGTTTAGGGGTGGCCACAGCAAATGTCACACTGACGACTCGCATGTTGACATTTGGCACGTGCTTTATGCCGGATGCCCTTCCTGACACAACCCTGATTCGAACCCGGGCCGCAGCAGCGAGAGCGCTGCGCCTTAACCACTAGCCTACCAGGGACCGAATGTTAGAGACAAAATGATTAAATTAAAATTAAATTAAATTCTATCATTCTTTTCTATAATTTTGTTCTATCATTTATAAAAGTAATTCATTCCCCACTAAACCACATACTAATCATATGTTCAGTTATTGGCCTGGGTTTCCAGTACCCACAATTACACTAATTTAAGTTAGATCAGCTGTAATGAGGAAAATCATGTACCTCATGTTTTTGTTGCTTCACAGAGTAATTGTCATGGACAGAGGCCACATTTCTGAGATGGACTCTCCAGCCAACCTCATCGCACAACGAGGACAGTTCTATCGAATGTGCCGGGAAGCTGGACTGGTCTAGGTCGTCACTGGGCCTTGTACCATGCATCTGGTGTCAGGTTTGGCGTGTACAGATGCCAAACAGAGGTTGTGGTGAACTCAATTAGAAAACCAGACAAACCGAGGTAGCGACAAGTTCTTTACTTGTTGTAAGCAAAACAACTAACACAAAGTCCAGGATATCAATCAGGTCGATAAGACAGTCCAGGGTCGGCGCCGGTAAACAGGTATAGCCAGGGGATCCAAACCCGAGGTCAAGGGGGACAAAATCAGAAGGTCAGTACACTGCAGGCGATCAGAATCTGGGAGGGCATAGACAAAACACGGTGGTCAAAAACGGTAATCCTAGGTCAAAAACAGAGAGTCAGGCAAGGTATAAATGCTGGAGAGTCAGAGGTGGAGTCTAGAACAATCTGGCAGCGTCCTGGTGGGAGGACGCTGCCTAAATAGAAGTAAAAAACAGGTGCAAACAATAAGGAGCAGGTGAACTAATGATGATTAAATAAAAGGGCCAAAACTGAGGTGAAACAAAACAGGAAGTAATGTGAAAATAAAAGCATGACAGGAAGCAAGAGGGGCAGGAGCGTGACATCTGGTGAACTGGTGTACAGATGTGGCACCTGATTTGTGTGGTTCTTCAAAAGGCATTAAATCAGGCCATTTCAATATATATGGCAGCTCAGAATGCCTCTCCACAAGGGCAGTGTTGATGATTTGTTGCTCTTTGCTACATGCATACAATACATATTGTCCTAAGTCAGGCAAAGACACTGTTATCCTCAGAAGAGGACTATGCAGAAAGAAAGCTGCAGTGGAATGTTGAGAGTATTATTCCATGTAAAGATTTAAGTCAAAGGCTGGAATGAACTAGCATCATAAATTTAAGAATTTTCATTCTCTTTTTGAATGGGAGTTATATTATTTTTGTAGTTTTTGTAAGTGTTTATTAAGAACATGACTTTTTTTTCATGTTGTCTCAGGCCTAATTGATGTTTACTCTTTTTTTTAGTCTTGTATACCAAAAAAGAGGCAACTTTGTAATTATCAAATTGTAGACATCTAGTGTGTCTTCTTGTCCCAGAAAATGGGACAGAAAATATTCTGACACATTAACCTTTCACTCTGGCAAACGCAGGGGAAGCCAGGTTTTCACAGTTTTCTAAATCTGAATTTGAAGTAGCGAATTGGACGAAAACATTGAAGTGAACCAAGTCATTAGCATTCATCCAACTATGTTGTGGCTTTTGTTTATTTCTGTCAAAATAAACATATAAAAATGTCAATAGAGACCTTGCTGGTCAGACTTAACCTGATGAAAACCACCATGAATGAAGAGAATGCTTCTTCAAAACAATGGTGATAAATCTCTGTGTGTCTCTGCCTCCACCACAAATACTCAGGCCACATATATATTTGTAGAACTGAGAGGGGGAAAATCTGTATTTTTCTTTTGGTGCTGGCAGAATGTTTATACCTTTTCTCTTAATTCGCAGAAAAACCCTATCAACTTTTCAAAGAGGAGAGGTGTTTACTGTTTTTGTCTTACTGGTTTAGACAATATATTCTAAGAGAAACCCTATAGTTTATTTATTTCATATAACAAAATGTGTTGTGTCCTTAAAATTCTGAGAATTATGTTATATTTATACTTTTTATAACAAGGTTGTTCATTTTTCACTGTTAATGTACTATCTTGTACTATGAATCATATTGTATAATAAAGTTTATATAATAATATTTGTGCTTGTATTCATACTGTATCTGTTCAAGGACATACACATTTAAATAAAAAGAGGTAATTACTAGAAGGTTCAAATGGTAGGCAGCTTGATGACTGTAGTGGTGGTTTAGTAGTAGTATGTCAAACTCAGATTAATCCGGTGTTTGCAAGTCAAGTATCAAGTCCGCAAATTCCAGGTCAAGATGCTGGTCTCTCACGTTTCTGAGTCATTAAAATTACACAGCATTTGAGAATTTGCTTTTCAAAGTCTGTCTTTAAGCTATTCAGAAGTATGAATGATCACATTTTTAACTGAAAAAAAGAATGTGACTGACTGAGATTCCAAATTAGAGCAGGGGTTATTGGTTAGGTGTTAGGGTAATGGGAAACATATGGGTAACATATTGTTCTTCACCTACCCCTGAATCTACTTCCGAGTTTTGGGATCTAACGTTAGCCAATCGCTAACCACGGCAAACAGCGGCAAGACAGTCCTTTGTTTACACTTACTGCAATGGCGACCATCACTGAGCTGAAGTGTGGTAAGCGCTCGTTATCATTCGTTATTTTGTTACTTAAATACGTAATACACTGTTAAATTAAACTAGACTAGATAAGTGACAAGCCATGCCACTGCACAAGTTAGTCAACAGCTACCACCACCGGCTAGCTAACGTTAATGTATCTACAACATGGTGTCCCTTTAATTAAATAACCTCCATTCAAAAATCTGACAATTCAGTGGTCTTAGTTGGTAAAAGTGACCCTTATAATGATTCAAGTATGGCATTATTAAGATCTACAATACAGTTTTGCACAGCTAAATACATTATGATCGTTGTGTATATTATGGTTATGTTAGGTTAGTTAGGTTAGAGTACTTAGCATCTGCTAGGTAGTTTTAGCTACTGTAACCCGTTTGCTAGTTAGCTTCGTAGGTTTTGGTCGAAGACGATGGTATGATAAAGGATGATAAGAGGGAGTCTTGGTTATTCAATTGTATTCCGATTTGAAGAATAATTTCTATTACTTCTGACAATAATATGGGTCACGTTCAAAGAGGTCTGTTGTTCTTTTAATAACTAACTTATAAAATACCTCCCTTCATGGCAAACATTTATTGGTTTACTGGGTACCCCATTAGTCTTCCTGGGGTCCAGTTGAAACGATTACAAAAATAGCAAAATAAACATCCAAATTAAAAGCCATTCATTCAAACACACAACATGCAATGGTTATTCAGTGTATAGTACCTTCACAACCCAATTTCACTTGTATTGTGTGGCATTCATGTGCATGGCAAAGTAAGAATTTCATTGTACAGGGAAACACGTTTCCTAACTGTGCATGAGAGGGTGAAATCGTCAGATATCCATTACTTGCCATATGAGTGGCAAACGTGAAAAAAGATGTTTATACACTTTTGGGGGGGGAAAGTACTTTATGAACTGCATTGTGCATAAATAGCAACAAACATGATTTCAAGTCCTCCATTCCAGCTGGCTGTGTGTCTCACACACATTGGTGCTGGGAAGACAGTGAAGAATCAACTTTCAGCTCTATTTTTGTGCAATTTACAATTTTCTTGTGTATTTACCAGCTGCACTTGACTAGACTATTATAGATGTTTAGAATTTACTGACTTTAACAAAAAGCAAGCCACTACTTAATGCAATCAGAGGGACAGTTAACCAGCCAAATTGTCCTGTTAATTCTGCATAAATGTGAATGTTTTAGCCATGAGGGAAACACTGGAGTCCCGCTGTGTTCTGGGCCAGCTGAAGGCTCGTATCAGGGCTGAGGTGTTCAGTGCCCTGGATGACCAGCGGGAGCCTCGCCCGCCGCTGTCCCATGAAAACCTGCTCATCAATGAGCTCATCCGGGAGTACCTGGACTTCAACAAGTATAGATACACTGCATCAGTACTGACAGCAGGTGGGTGAAAAGTGGGTGAAAAGCCATTTTTTCCCACATCATTAACAATAATGTGTCGAAGATTTTAGACCTACCCCACCAGTCAAAACTCTGGACACCCTATCACACTCAGTTCTCACGTGAAAGCAGCAGTACTATACTTGATAAAGATGTAGATGTCACATTTAAGCTGCTGGCCTTGAAATGCTTATTGTGGTTACTACTGTAGAGCAAAGTGTACTACGAAACTCAGACTCTATCTTTTCTCAGAGTCAGGCCAACCTGACGTGCCCTTGGACAGACAGTTCCTGGCAAATGAACTGAAATTGGCAGAGGATTCAAGCTCAAAGTCTGTGTAAGTGTGTATGCTGGTGTTTGGAAAGTAGCAGCACAGTACATTGTGTTATCTAACACAGAGTTCAGAATTTTACTGACCTCTTGAGGGAATGATAAGCTAAGGGATAATGAATTCAAAAGCTCTGTGAATCATCTCCATCATTGTAGTCTCATTTTAAAATGCCTCAAGATACTGAATAACTTCAGCTTGTTTGGAAAAACCTAAATACAACTAGTGTGTTTTGTGAAACTAGATTATAGAGAATGTGACGTTGATGTCACACTGTTGCATTTTGGGTAAATGTTTAGGGCATCATGCTCATTATCCATCATAGAGATATACACTACATACATCAATAAGTTAATTTTAGAAAATAAATACTATCCCACACAGTTACATACAGTAGCGGATGCTTCAGCTTCATCCAAACATCCACTTCAGTGTTCAGTTCCAGCACAGACAGGACAGAAATGGATTAATCTGCAGTTTTTGTGTTATCTGCAGAGAGCTGCTAGCTAGCGTTAGCCAATCAAAACAAGAATGTATGCAGGTGAATATAGCACATATCTCAAAAAATTGTATAATTTTTCTGTTACTCTGTTTCTTTTCCTATCTATGTACTGCCAGGGAGAACTGAAAAACATTAACTGAAATAAAAGGCTAGAACATGTACCAGTGTAACCTTCATAACCTGGGCTTGATCCTGGCTCAGAATATAACTCATTTTTCTCTTAGTTTGTGATTAAACAAAATGAAGTCTGCAGAAATCTAAATCACAAGTTCAGTATTTTGTTTTCTTACTCCCCAGACCTCTTCTCTATGGCTTGGTGTCCCACTTTGTGAACAGCAGCGATAATGGAGCAAAGGTGTTTCTGCGGGGTCCCTCTCTGCCAGCTGCTCCAACAGCCAGCAGCACATTACCTGAACCTAAAGCCTAAACGTTGATGATGCACTGAGTACCGCACAGCACGAAAAGATGTCTTCACACTCCAATACATGACGTCAAATGTTGCTGTGTCTCGATGGTCTTCAGTGACATAAGCTTCTTGTCTATAGATTTCACTGTTTTCAGATGAGTGTAATCTACACATTACAGCTGTTGTTGATGGACTGTATTAAGCTGAATATGAACACCTTTGTATTGGTGTCAGATGATCCCTGATGGCCTTTATATGTTTTGATCTCTGACTTCACCAGTAGGTTTAGTGTCATTCAGTAATGCAGATTCCTTGTTCTCTCGATAATTTAAGCAAAAGGTTTAGATAATATTCCTCATTACCCTCATTTTTAATGTACAAATGTTTGATACTTTTATATTGTCTGTTAGCTGTTCAAAAATAAATATATCTATACACTACTTTTTTGAACAATTTTTTTTATTTGCAGTTGCCACAGAAGGTGACAGGTGAGAACCATTCAGATGCTTTGTGTACGTCCCTGTCAACCATATCTTAGAAAAAGGATATTTATACTTTGAATCAGAACCATCTGTGGATGTGCTATTATATTGTGTACCACGTGGTGGCACTGTTAGCAAAGATAAGGTTAAAGACTGCTACTGCCACAAGATTGAACAGAGATCATTTGTTGTACTTGAACTTGTTGTAGCCTGATGTGCCATTGTGCAACAAAACTCTGTATTTACATGTCTCCTACAGTCAATTCAAGGCCCTAATATGTACAACTCGAGGTTGATTGTGGACAGTCCCTACTGGTAGTCTGAAAAACATGCCTAACATCAACATGTAAGATAATATTTGAAAGCTTTAGTAATCATCTAACAAGGTGATGTTAGATTTAAGGATTCCATGTGAGTTAAAATTCTTTTTGTGTTGCTACCATTCATCAAGGGTCATACATACAGCACAGCCTGCAACTAGTGCACTAAGTCAGTAGGTTATATTGTAGCTATGGTGTTTTGTCTGTAACCAACACTGTGTTTGCAAGTACAATGTGTACTGTTGAGCATTTGCTTTGTACAGTTTTCATCACAGTTTAAACTGTTCTGAATAACCTGCACATGAAAGTGAACAAAATTCATATTGACTTACTTTCCTGGAATTGTCTTAACATTTTGGCCCTTATTGTGTTGCTCTGTGCAGCCAAACCCGCCCATGGTTCCCCTGCCCCATGATGAGCGCCCATGTTTGTTAATATTCAGATGGCTCATGATTATTAATATGTCATCATGGTCTCCCACAGCATAATATCCATGTTTATGCTGACTTAAAAACTTTTAAGTGAAGCTAGTCTTGGTTTCTCTGCAGCTTAGTAGATGTGAAGCCCCTAGATTATCCCTATTACAGCACATAATCATATACCGGTAATTAGTTGTACAGGGGATTCAGTGATGGCCCTTCCTTTGATTATAACAAATCATAAAAATCCAACATTTTTAGTCAAAAATATGTTAACAATAAAGAAACACTGAGATACAACAAACAACCACCATGTGCCCCCCCACTCACAAACAAGTCCCATACTTGTTATATCTTACTTCCTCTGTCACCATTTAAGGGAACTTGACATTGTCATCTCATACGACTTAGAGCCCTGTGTTTCTGGAACTGATTATCTATGAAGTCGGCCATTTCATTTCTCAGCTTGTTAATTGATGCTGCACAGAGTTCCACCCTTTGTACCATCTCTAACCTAATCCATGTCTAAATTGTTTTAGGCTTTAAGCTTGTTTACATTATCCTGTCTCCTCTAACATATCAATATCTCTCATTCTCTACTGTAGAGGCTTTGAGAAGAAAGAATGAAAAAGAAATATTTAGCACACTGTGTTTTGCTGAATTCTCCTTCTGATGTAGAGTAGCTGTAAAAATTAGGTGCAAAAATTTACTTCAGTGCAGTTTTTACAACAAGATGTAATGTACACCTAACTTTATACTGTGCCCTAATTCACTGGATTACATTAGAAATGATAATGGGATGTTTAGTGTAACAGCATACTATAAATAGTGCCATAGCAAACTCCCTCTGGAATGGTGAATTTACAGTATACTGCTTCCTTGGAGCAAACCTTATTTGCCCCTAAAGCCTGTGGCCCATAGGCGCCTGGTTTACTGGCACCAGATATGAGAGTTCTCTTTGGAATGGCTATATAAGCAGAGGAAGTTGAACAATGGCACATGATTGTCCAACTGGCAGTTTGCCCTGTAATAGGTAGCATTTCTACTCCACTGTATAAATGAGTTGTGTGTAAACAAAGTCAGCTGTATAAATAGTATTGAATGCAGTGGTCTTTTGACTGCAACAGAGTGAACTGATGTTTGCCCCTGGACTCAAATTAGAATGCAATTGCATTCCACGAGGGTCAGCTTATATCCATAAACACATTTCTTGTCCGATAGACGGCCATCTATGGACATAAGGGAGGAAAAATATGAAACATAATGTACAGTATGTAGGAGATGTCTGCGTTACAGTTCATGTTGTTTTTATTGTATAGGCTATTAATTCGACCCCACTGTGTGGAGTGTTCATGTCATTTTGGCCGGTTAAGTTCACATAAATGTGTCCTGTAACTTCAGTCATTTGCCTCTCACTGTTGTGTATTGTTTTATAAATCACAGAATCAAGATTTTAGGATTTTCAGTAGGAAATAAGTTATAATAAAGTCAAGTTCTCAAACAGGAATAACTGATCTCTACTGGTTTCAATGTCCTTCACTCAAACATTTTATCCAAGTTCACTCCCCACGCCTACTCTTCTCCATGTCGCTGAGGCATTTTCACATGCTAATTAATTGCTCTGTGGGATCACTTAACTATTCTTTGTTTCACTGTGGAGCGAGAACATTGTTGGACATTTTAGGCCAGACTCATTTTGCCAGCATTCCATGCCCCCAAACCTCCCTTCACCTTTTTAGTTAGGTGAAGCCCGTGCTCCACTTCTCCCTGCATGGATCATCATATATCACTTTAAAGTGACCTTTTCTTTGACAGCAGTCATGGAGTAATGATCCTGTAATATACCACTGGGAAATAACATAAAGAGCAAATCACCCACTCAAAGTTTAGGAGATTTACTAACCCTAACCCTGTGCAAAAAAAAAGAAATCATCCAACACACTGTCTATATTTAATAAGATCATGAAACTCAGACTGCATCTTTGACATGTCTCTTTTCAGCAATAACAAGACAGACATACACAGGCCTACAGTACACTGTGTAGTCCTCCTCTGATGCATCCCTGTTACCATACCATAGGCTGATAAGCTTTTCTGTCACAGTTAACTACAAGCAAATAAAAGTTATCCCCATAGAAGCAACTTTGTTTGTTTGAGCGTTTGCTCTTGGACCATATTTAGTCACTGGAGCTCTAGGTGCTCGCCTGTTCTTCACTTTGAAAGTTACACAAAGCTGCTGAGATTCCATACAGCCCCCACTGTCCTTATATGGCACAACCTCTCTGTTCAGTGTATCTGCTGCTTTCTTTCCCTCTCTCCTCCTTCTCCTTCGCCTGTTCCCTCACCCTCCTTGGCCTGCCCTCATCCTTGTTCCTCTATCATGCACACCATCCCGCCTCCTTGATGTTGGACAGAGGTTGCCTGAAGGTTCTCCATGTTGGTCTCACACACACACACACAAACACACACACACACACACACACACACACACACACACACACACACACACACACACACACACACCGGTGCAGCTGGTCTCTCACACACACACACACACACACACACACACACACACACACACACACACACACACACACACACACACACACACACCGGTGCAGCGTTTTGCCTCTATGGCACAAAACAGACCCAGCTATCGACTGGCAGCTTGATTTAATGGAGCCAATAGAACAGTGTCCTTATATAGAAAGTTCCATCAGAAGTGGAAACAGGAGGGATGCAGCAGGAGAAGGATGGACAGAGCAAGACTGTTTGTGATAGTGGAATGTGATGTGCGTAATGACAGAAGATATCTGTCTATGATGTACACACAAAGAAATTGATGTTCAGTATGAGAATTATGAATTGTGTTTATTGGGGGGGAACCTCCCTGGAGCGCATACAGTAAAGGGGGATTCCTGTGCTGGGGGACAGCAGTTTGCCTTATGAGGAGTGAAACTGATTGCATAGTCTATAAAACCTACAGGTTATGGGACTGGAGTACAAAACCACTGGCTATAACTGGTTGTACATCCACTACTGTGGTGCCTTTTAAATATTTTAACCAAATCGAGATTTTGGGAACTGTATAAGCCTGAGTACATCAAATTACACCGCACACCATTATTGATATGATGTCTGATGATGTTTACGAAGCATTTAGTTCAACAAGGAGACAGATGAGCGTTGGAACCAACAACAATAAGCATGACCCATGTACGAAATGAGGCAAGTGATTTGTTACAGAAGTGGGAAACCGTGGATGAGTAAGGGATTACAGAATGAATGTAAAAAAGAAGAATGTGTTATATAAGGAATTCATAAAGGACAGATCAAAGAAGGCGGAAGAAAAATATAAGTCATATAAGAACAAATTAATTGCGTTATTGAGGATATATAAGAAACAATATTACTCTAAAGTATTAGAGGATAATAAAAATAACATGAGAGGTACTTGGAATATATTAAATAAATTGATTAGAAACAGTACCAGCAGGAGTAACTACCCTCAATATTTCATGGATAATGATACA